GCTAACAGTACCATGCTGCTAACAGGACCACACTGCTAACAGTACCATGCTGCTAAAAGTACCACACTACTAACAGCACCATGCTACTAATGAGACCATGTTGCTAAGGGAACCTCACTGCTAACAAAACCACACAATTCTAATAGGACCATGCTGGTAACAGGTCCATGTTGCTAAGATAATCTCATTGCCAGCAGAACCACTCTGTCAATAGGACCATGCTGCTGTAGAAGTTTTTCACTTTTGGTGCCTTGTTTTTGCATTTTTGTTGCATGCTTTGGTGTTTGTTGTTGTTTTTTTGGTGAGTCGAGATGGTTCTTCTCATCCTCAGCCTTGTATTGTTGACCTTGTGTTGACCTGCATATGACAAATAAACCTAAACCTTCTTTTTATAATAATATATATATTTTTTTTTCATTTACCCTTTATTTACACAGGTAGTCTCATTGAGCCACGATAACTCATTTTCAAGAGAGACCTGTTTAGGGAGCAGATGGTGGGGGTTAAGGGCCTTGCTCAGGGGCCCAGAGTGGGGCGAATGAAGGTGGAGGGAGGTGTGGGTGTTTCACCTTTTACATCCACGTTTTTTTATGTTGACGGTACCGGGAGGTGAACCTATGACTTTCTGATCGCAAGCCCATTTTCTAGCCTCTGCGCCACCATCCCCCCCCATTATAAAGTGCTATGTGTTGTCATCATCGTATGTACCCATACAATGGCGAAATTGGTTCTCTGCATTTAACCCATCGCACCTGAGATACACCCAGGTGGAGCAGAGGGCAGTTATGTAAGCGCGTGGGGAGCAATTGGGGATTGAGTGTCTTGCTCAAAGACACCATGACATGGGAATGGCTGGGGATCGAACCTGGGACTTTCAGGTCCCGAGTCTTACTGGGCTTTAAGTGTCAGCAAACAACTTTCATTAAGGACTCTCCAAAATGTCTAAATGTTTGTGAAGGTTTTTAGTTTTCATGGTAAATGGACTGTACTTATATAGCACCTTTCTATCTTATTTCAAGATACTCAAAGCTCTTTACAATCTGTGTCCTCATTTACCCATTCATACAGCACTCTACTAGAGCTCTACAAAGATAATTGAACAAATCATTCTAATGAGACTAATCATGGGAGAGTTGCAGAGCCTGCAGTCTTGTTTCTTGGCTCAACGCATTTGAAAATCTTATTAACAAATTTTCTCTCAAAATAATCGGATTTGTTGCAAGTGACTCAAACGGTTCTCAGTTTAGTTTCTGTAAATTCTAGCACCAGAGCTGTATTTTGACACCTGCCTGAGAACTCTCTTTATGACAGGAAACTCCTGAATGTCCAGGTGTAAAATCCACACCAGTGACAAATAATAATTATTCAAAAATCTGCCTATGTCAATGTTAACGGTGTATTCCAGTAGTACATACATTATTGTTAACATGTGCAGAGGTGAGCAGCTAAATGATTGCAAACTGTGTGCTCAAACAAGACCAGGGGTCTGCAACCTGTGGGTCTGGGGCTACTTGCAGCACTTTGGTCCCTCTGCAGCGGCACTTTCAAGCATTGACCAAAACTAACATCAAACTGAATTTTATAGGATGTTATACCCACAACGAATAATGACTAGTTTTAGCAGTTTTCCTGTAATTTATTTTGCAAAATGTGAATACTAGAAACATTACAAGGAGTAAAACATACTTTCACTTTACGCTTTATTTCTTCAAAGTAGGATACTTATTTTTTATACAGTAAAAAAAAATCACATTAGAATGCATAGTTTATTGTTTTAGTTTTTAGAAATGGGCAAAACTATATTTTCTTTCTTTACAAGAATCTCGTCTTTTATTTTGTCAGAGTGTAAAAAATATCAGTAAATGTTAAAAATCATTAGATATTTTTAGTTTTATAAAATCACCCCTACTGGCCAGAAAAGTACCCCCCAAAAAAACTTAGTGGTCCACGGGCTACCAGTTGAGAATCCCAGTTGCAGGTATTGTGGCCCTGAACACGTTTAATGTAGTGATCAAAGGGGCATAAATGGGTCTTTTGATCGTAAAGGCTGCAGGCCCCTGGATTAGACCATCATTGTTAAAAAGCACTGGTGTCTCAGATCACAGCTGCATGGCTCAGTAACGGCAAACACCCAGACTTCAGTGAAACTACGATGGAAGATGAGCCTTGAGTCACCAACACTTGCAGCCCAGTTAGATACAACCTGCTTCTTTCTGAGTGATATTCTATTCATTACCTTTATCCTCTCCTTCCTTTTGGAGTCGTGGGGGTTGCTAGTGTCCCTGTCCATTAGTCACTGTGTGAGAGGCGGGGGACACCCTGGACAGGTCTTCAGTCCATCACAGGGACACATAGAGACAAACGAGACAAACAACCATTCACTGTCTCACTCGCACCTAGAGACAATTTAGAGTTACCAATCAGACTAACATGCATGTTTTTGTCTATGGGAGGAAATGGGAGAAAACTCACTGTAAAAACAGTAATGACATCAATAACACAATTTCCATCAAGATATTTTATAAAACACTTCATGCAGCAATCAGTTAAATTGTTGACTTCTAAGAGTTTTTTAAATCTTTAAATAAGTCACAATTTAAAATCAATCTAAATCAATAAAAGCTAAGCAGGTTCTGTATAAACAGGAGTAGACGTATTGTGTTTGTTTTGAATTATGTTCTTGTGCCAAATCTCTACAAATTATTTACTTCTTACTTTACTACATATGTCTGGGTGTTATAAATGATATTTGGTGATGTGTTTGCCTTTCTGCCCCAGTGGAGTTGAGTGACTGTGTAGAAATGTGGAACAAAGCATTAGGTTAGTGAACTATCGGGACAAAAACAAAACAATATCTACGTTGATCACAATAAACTTGTTTGTACTATGAATAATACAATTAAAAGGTCTTTAAATTGAAGTAATCTCTTCTAAAGTATTAAATCAAACCTAATATTACTTGTTTAAACTGTATTCAAATGGCTACATGTTGTCTCCATACTGAGGCATTAAAGGTTAAAGGTTCTCATCATAGACCCTCTGCCTTTGAGTTATGTCCATTTTAGTCTTATTTCATCTCACTCAAACTAATCTAATTAATTAGAACTGGAAGAAAGATTTAAAGCACATTTTTACAATGTAATTGTAATTTGCGTGCACTGACGTGGCTGAATTAAAAGTTAGGACATTGACTGTTTTACAAGACTATTAATAGCTACAGTTGTATTTTCTTCTTGCAGTCGTTCTCATTTTCCATCTAGTTTTCTGCTCTTTATTCGTGGTCATTGCATCGATTACAGCCGACAAGCTACACTGATTGTCTGAGTCAGTGCTGTCAGTTCTCCCACCTCTGACTGCTTTCTCTATTGACCTTGACTAATTATAAACTTTTGGAAATTATTTCAAGAATGGTAGCATGAAGATCAGTGTGATAACTTTTCTCGTTTTCAGTTTCACATGTTTGGAGTACAATAGCAGCTAGCAAGGTTGGAGCTTTTATCTGCTATTCATTGCTGTGGGAGAGCAGAGCACATCAGGAGCAAGGGTCTATATTGATTAAATTATGGTAGTCTGACTGGATTCCTCTTTAGAATAGCCCAGTCTGCTCCGTCAGCACCAGTGGGTGGAAAGAAGCAAGGAACAAAAGAGGCAGTAGATGAAAACAGTGAGAGGGAAGCAGGACTAACGAGAAAGAATCGAGGCTAGATAAGAAACTGTAAAGTCTCACGTCTACTTCCTGAATGTAGAGGATCACCCAGCTGGTGGTTGTAATTGATCATATTGTCTCAGTAAGAAAGATCACAAACTATTAGAATAAAATATGGCAAGCTGAATGATTTCTTCCTGTAAAGGATGTGGCACAGAGTAGTTGTGTTTGTGAGGTATAATTCCATTTTCCAGCTTTCACTGAAGTGTGTTTCTGTGTCTCACAGGCCAGAAAAAAAGTTTTACCACAACTAAGATGTGTCTGGTTTTACATCAGCTGAAACCGAAACAAAACAAACAGAAAAGTGGCCTGCGTTTTAACATTTCTTACATATTTTTTCTCTTTGAAGACAATAAAGTTGAAAGCCGAGGCTCGTTTGGACCTTCTCCGACAAGTGGGCGTGGCCGTGGACACCTGGCTGAAAAGCGCCATGAACCAGGTTTGTGCTAAATATTAGAGATATGTGAAATGAGCGTTTTGGACTATGACGTTTGCAGATGACATTGTGATCTGTGGTGAGAACAGAGAACGTGAGAACACGCATGTGAATGAGAGGGAGGCAGGTGGAACAGTGAGGCTACGAGGAGCAGAGGTCACTTTCATATGATTGTCCAGGAGAATGAGAAGTGAACAAAAGAAGAGGTGAAGATGGGAGTCCAGGCAGGATGGAGTGAGTGGGGAAAAGCTTCAGGAGTGATTTGTGACAAAAGGGAAGCAGCAACGAGACGAGACAAGGTCTCACTTGTAAATGAGTCTTCGAGGCTCAATGTGACTTATCTGTTTAAATAAAGGTTGAATTGAATTGAAAGAAAAGGGAGTAGTGAGACCAGCTATGTTGTATGTTTTGAAGACAAAAATATTGATAAAGGCAGATGAAAGAACTGGAAGTAGCAGAAATTAAGATGTTGAGGTTCTTCTCAGGAGTGACAAGGATGAGATCATCAGAGGTACAGCACAGGTTGAACAACTGGGAGATAAAGTTCGAGAGACCAGACTGAGATGGTTTGGACATGTCCAGAGGAGGGACAGTGGGTATACTGGTAGAAGGATGTTAGAAATGCAGCTGCCAGGAAAAAGACAAAGAGGAAGACCAAAGAGGAGATATTTAGGGCTACAACTAACAAATATTTAAATAGTCGACAAATTGGCCGACTATGTTTTTCCATTAATTAGCAAAAAAAAAATTTAAAAATTTAAATTTCCACCTCTTTATTCCAAAATAGAACATTTGACTGACACAGCAAATTGCACACTCAAAAAACACATTCTCTCCACGAGCTTTGTAAAATGTGTCCTTGAGGGAAGAGTGTAACCTGGATTAAAAGTGTGGATTATTGTAACCAGGATTAAAAGTGTGGATTATTGTAACCTGGATTAAAAGTGTGGATTA